GTACCTTCAGCGTTGTGCGAGGCTCTCAGGTCTCTCAAGAATTGCTGGATGAATGCGCGCAATTCTTTTCTGCCAACTATGGCGTCTGGAGCCCTGATGTCTCCGCGCCGCTCAAACCAGGCGAGTTTACAGCCCCGTGCAAATAGCACTTCGATGACACTGGCCAGGCTTGCGCGTAAGAATGACTCCTGCAAGCTGAGGAGCGAATGCTTTACCGATCCCGACGCAACTTCCCTGGCTTTGTGCCGCATTGGAAACGATATTGTGGGGTATGCGTTTGCTACGGTCTGGGAATATGAGGTTGGTAAGTATGTGGCGATTTTACGCGTTACTTCTCATGTAACGAATCTAGGTAAAAATGTCTGCTGGGTCACCCAGCTTGTTGTCTCTTCCCAGTACCGCAGACAAAATATCGCGACGCTGCTGCTGACCCCAGCCCCGCCGATTCCATGCCATGCTTTCGGTATTGCTTCATCTCACCCTGGTGCTGTTGCTGCTCTGACAAGTGCCGCTGGTACGTTTTCCAATCCATTTCTGCAATCACCCCGTGAAGAAATAATTTAGATGCCCCACTCCGCAAAGTCGACCTGAACTTCATCAAAGACACGGCAAACCGGATCCTCGCAACCACACCTGTCCCGTACTTGCGGGCTGCTCAATCACGCGGTTTACGGGGAGCGCTGTTTGGGAATAACAAGGCAGATGGAGGTGTTTGCAGCGTCTTCACGGACTTCTTCGTCGACCATGAGGAACCGCGTGCCGCTCTGGAGATCTGGGAAAATGTCCAGGATATGAAGTGGCCCTTGGGCAAGCTGGCGGCTGGACACGAGTATCTGTGCATTGTTCCCATTCAGACCTAGTTCCTAGTTCCCTCCATTTCCTCGCCTGTCGCTGACTCTTACTTAGCATGTTCAATGTAGTACGCCCGATACCTGATAGAGCTCAAATAACGCGTATGGCTCGCCCCATTGACCCAATCTACGTCTCCGAGTCAGTGAGCACTGAGCTGGAGCACTGAGCCTCATCCCTCATGTGAGTCCTCACGATCCACCTTGAAAATATAGTAAACGGCGCGTGAATGGGACACTTGTGTGTACCCCGCGCAGTCTTTTCAACAAACGAGAGGCCCAGGTGAGGGAGCGGGCCAGCCCTGAAGTTGAGCGGAATAATCTTGCGGCTGTGTAGATAATGATCTTGAAGTTATCTTATCTCGCTCCTCCACCTCAACCGCCTCGGTTCCGTATGACACTCAACTATCCTTGCTCTTCCCCACCACGCCCCTCAAAGCCAAAGCAGCTTCCAGTAATTTGAACCTTACTACAGCGACCTCGTCCCAATCTACCGAAACAACCGAAACGCGCGATATGGCACCCAAATCAAAGGCGGTTCCCAAAGCCTTGAACTCTATTATTGCAACCTCCCAGCAATCCCGCTTCCATACTGAAACGCTCGATACCAGTCTTGAAATTGATCTCAAGGGCGTTACAATTTCCATAGGAGACCGGGAGCTCATTTCATCGAGCCATCTGCGCCTGAAGCAAGGCGTTAGATTCGGACTAGTCGGTTGCTACTGGTCTCTCTTGAGAGAAGTTTCTCGATTCTGACGCGTTTATCGGTTCATTAAGGTCGCAACGGGTCTGGAAAGTCGACTCTTGACGGCGATTGCAGATAAACTCATCCCCGGCTTGAACCCGTCCATCCGAATCCTTCTGCTTTCTCAAGTCGAGGATAGTGCGAGAGCGACTGATACTCCTGGTGTTGGGTCTATCAGCGTCCTTGAGCACGTCGTCAAAGGCGACAAGGAACGGCAGGCTGCGGTGGAAGAGTTCGAAGGCACGTTTGCATCTGTCGCGCAATAAATGCCAATTGAGTCGTGTCTTAGCTTTGACCAAGGCCACTGAGACCACATCTCTGCGAGAAACTCAACGCATCGTTTATGGCTTACGTCTCGATGCACGCCGCCGGGAGCTGCAGGAGGCCAGGAAAGTTGCAAGTCGAAGATCCGGGGCGCGCGGTAAAGAGGCACGTTTGGAGGAAATCAAGGCTGAGGAGAACCTCAAACAGGCTGAAATTTTGTACGCGATGGTTCGCCTTTAAAACCGCCTGACTAACGCTCCCGCAAGAGTCGAAAGTGTCGAGACCGCCGATATCGAACCTGATATTATGAACCAGGCGCTGGAGATGCTCCAGAATATCCAGGTTACGCTGGAACTAGTATGCCTTCGACTTTTCACTTGTCCCCAACTCTCATTCGGAACTAAAGCTCGAAACTTCGTCCACGGAAGCGCGTGCTGCCAGTATTCTCTCCGGCTTAGGCTTCACCCAAGAAATGGTTGAGGGTCCGTACACCTCCCTTTCCGGTGGATGGAGGTCTCGTTGCTCCCTCGCTACGTCCCTCCTCGTCCACAGCGATGTTCTACTTCTCGATGAACCGTCCAATTTCCTGGTTTGTGTTTTTCATTGGACCGATTTCTTTAAATTCATAGCACATCTACGAATAGGATCTTGAAGCAATCATCTGGCTTGAGGGCTTCCTGAGTTCCCAGTCGCGCACTCTTGTGCTCATTTCGCACGACCAAGCCTTTCTGAATAATGTTGTCGAGGAGACGATTATTCTGCGAAATAAAACACTCGAATATTTTGAAGGCACGCCGGCCGCCTTTGAAGTCAACGAGCGGAAACGGGCGAAACAACTTACCAGCGCACAAGAGAGTCTCGACAAGAAACGGGAGCATGTGGGTCGTGTTCTTTCCCCGTCGTACTGTTTTCATATTTTGGGTAGATCGAGAAGTCGATCCAACAAGGCAAAGAAAGCGCCAAGAAAACTGGGGATGAAAACAGGTGTGCATTAGTGTTCCTGGAGAATCGGGAATCGGCTCATCGTTCGTTACAGGATGCGCATGGTTAAATCGCGCCAGAAAAAGTTGGTTACTTCTTCGCTCTTTCGTCCTGGCTCAAGTGATTCCCGTGTTCAGATTGGATGAACGTTGGGGTGCGGAAACGAGCGCTAAAGGGACACGATTCAAACTCAACCGCGATATGGCGGGATACTTCCTTTCGAATCGGAAGGAGGTCGACCAGATCGTCACCGAGCCAAGGATCAAAATCAACATCGAGAGCCCGGAGAAGCTGCGAACTGCCGGAGACCTGATACATTTCGATGCGGTGGAGTACCGGTTCCCGAAAGCCAAGAAGCCATTCCTCGAAGATATCACCTTCACCGTCAATCAAGGTGGTCGATATGCATTCGTTGGTAACCATGTTCGACCATGATACTTTTACCGTGTCTGAATGCCAATCTGTAGGCGCGAACGGGCAGGGCAAGGTTTGAATTTTCTTCTCAATTTGATAAATATTTACGGAATACGTTTATAGTCAACGATTGCTAAACTGATCATGGGTACGCTCAAGCCCACCAAGGGCACCATCGTCCGGCATCCGCTTCTCAAAATTGGATACTACGGTCAGTACACCGCGCCGTGACAGAAACAGAAACCTAATACAAGTGGAAATAGGCCAACACTCGGTCGAAGAGCTGTCAGGTCCTCAGACTCAATCAACGTCGGGCAGACCAGTGACGGCATTGTCCCATTTCATGGAATATTTCGAGGCCAAAGGCGAGACGGTCGTCGAGCAGGATGCCCGAAGTGCCTAGGATCCTTTGGTCTCCAGGGCAAGATCGCAAGTGATACGCCGCTTGTGCAGTTGAGTGGCGGGCAAAAGGTGGGTTTTTAATCCAATATCGTGTCGATATCGGGGACTCACCACCGTGAACGGTAGGTTCGGCTGGCCATAGCCTTATAGTTTTCATACCGCCTCCGCTGCTGCTTCTTGACGAAGTATCAACACATGTGGACTTCCATACCATCCAGGCTCTTGCAATCGCTCTCAAGACGTTCACGGGTGCGATAATTATAATCACGCACGACCGGTGGGTTTTCCTCCCTGTGCTCCTTCCAATCTCGAATGATCATCCTTTTGCAGTTGGTTCAGCCGTGTTGTGATCGAGGGCGAATCACTACGACATGCAGCGCCAGACGATGAAGGTCGGATGAATCTTCCAGTGAGGAGGAAGATGATGAAGCTGCTCCACCTGGAAAGACGTACCGGGTCGGTGGGGGCAAGCTGAAACTGATGGAAAAGGGAATGACACAGTACGTTGGTATCGTCGAGCGAAAGCTGGCAAGGAAGAAACGAGAGGATACGAAAACTTGACGTGTCTGTTTTTGAATGTAACATTGCCCTTGTACTCAACCTGGAACCGGATTATATTGCATGTCATACTGGCCCTCTGGACCACGGTCTGCCGTTCCTCTCGGTAGATCACCAATGTAGAAAAACTAAATCACGAGGGTTTTGACTAGTTTCCCATTGTTCTGAGCGTGATAAGCTTGGCACGGCATGCCGGATGAGTACACAAATAATTCTGGTCTGACAGTGAGCGCTGTCTTTGGTCTGGGCTTCTAAGTACTATTTCGTTAGATTAGGTTGGCCAGTCGGAGAAATTCCAAGTTTTATGTGCACCTTGCGCATCTTTATCAGGACCATACACTCAAATCGTCCTACGATTATGCGTGGTTATGGTCATGCAAGATCCTCATGGGACAGAGAATCCGATTTAGGGTGCCTAATAATGGAATGACCTAATCGTGCTGAGAGGATAGCATTCGCTCGCCTTACGCCCCTGTTGTCTAATGGTTATGACGTCAGACTTCTACGTTCGCTGTTTCGAGATTATCTGGAGGCTGCGGGTTCGAGTCCGCCAGGGGTTTCTTCATTACATTTTTTTTTTTGGTCTTTCCATTTTTTCAACGTGCTCTCACCACTAGCATTGAGGTCAGTGTGCAACTCATGAATCACTGCGTTCAACCGGTTCCTAGACCGGCAACCGGCGAGGCCCGCTTAGGTCCGTCGAGCCGGCGCGTGCCTAGCCGAGGCGATGCCTAGGGCCGTAGCAACGCCTAGACACACCTAGAACAAGTATTTTTAGGCGTGTCTAGACGTTGCTATGGCCCTAGGCATCGCCTTAGCTAGGCGCGCACCGGCTCGACGGACCTAAGCGGGCCTCGCCGGTTGCCGGTTTAGGAACCGGTTGAACGCAGTGAATCCCCTCTTTTTCTTCATTCATGGGCTCAAGGCATCCTATATCTGAGGCCAATGCTGCCCATTCATCGATTTTTTTAAGCAAAAAACAAGGGCGCTGGGGCGAGCGATTCGTTGGTAGAAGTACATCGAGCGAAGCCCCGTACCACAGGCGTCCCCGGAAGTGGTAATATTACGGTCTTGAAGACATGACGAGCAACATTTCAGTCGCTCGAAATACAATTCTGCCCAATTGCAGCACCACTACAGAAGAAGTGAGATTATTATGAACTTGGAAGTAGTCGAACACCAAAGAATGTACCCGATTGAGCGCTCGCCTACCATCGTGACAAAGTACATCATTAGTGTTTTCGCAAGTTGTCTCCGCTGTAGTAAACCAAGCCTCCCACTTCCTCACCGTCTTCGGTGATTCAAGAAAACAGAAACAGCACAGGATATCAGTGGCAGCACCTACTTTTTATGACAGATGACCCCAGCAGTGCACTCATTTTTTCCGCCGTACCAACTTTCTGCCCCGAAGACCCTTCTCAAATCATCATTCCACAGTGAGATCTCGGGCTGCGATGAGTCATCGGTGGGGAAATCGTCCTCATCATCAGTAAATTGAGCGTGCCAGTTCCATGATTTTGGTGGCGAGGGTGAACAGTTCCAGTCCTTTGTTATTATTTTTGTCAACTGTCAACCCGGAAGTATAAAACTGCCAGGTGCGAAAACTCCACAGCGCCTGCAGCTCGTGGAATCGAGGTACCAAAGATGACAACAGAAAGGTGAACATTGGGATCGACTGGGAAGATTCAGAGTCTCCTTTTTTTTTTTTGGCTCGTGCAGCCTGCTGGGACTCAGATGACATCAAGTGCAGAACTAGCATACTTACCTTGGCTATAGGGCCGGTCGCTTTTCTGTTCCAATGTAAACATCCATCCCTGATGTCTTCAGCTTTCTGAATGGCAGGAGATTCTCCCGGAGTACTGTGCGCGCTTTCTCGAAATGAGGCGAAATGACTGCAGCTGTGCGCCCGGGGAGAATGCCTCTTCGTTTAATAATCGGCTCGGCCGCATTGTGCAGTATTTTTTCGACATTTGCCTCATCTTCCTCGAGACAGCCCAGGAAGGCAAGCTTCTGAAGCCGAGGCAACAGACTGGGATTAGAGCCGAATAGTTCAAAGAAGTCGTACATGAAAATCCAGGCTGGGCACCAGATCTCCAGCTCGACAAGGTCGATGAGGGCCAGAAAGGGTTGTGAAAGCCGAAGCTCGATTTCGCCTTTCAGCGGGCGAACTGCAAGTTTCCGCAACGGAGGTGACGAACGCTCTAGGAATGAATCGAACTCTTTCGCGTCAAAATTATCCGTGCCGGAGAATTTAAGCGTTTGCAGAGGCAGGGTGAGGAGTCTGAGGATATGGGCACTGGACGGATGGTGCTCGAACGCGGTTTCGAGCAGGGTGAGATGTCGTATATTGGGGTAGGAGACTGTTCGAATCGATTTGCATCGCCATCCTCAAACTCAAACGCTGAGAAGGCGCATTCGAGGAGGTTGGGCATGAGACGTATTGCTTCCAAGCATTCGTCAACGTAGTATGACTCGCCCGTGAATTTGGTAATCTGCTGCCACGGAAGTATGACGAAAGAGGGCAGGACCATGTTCATGAACACTTCGCGTAGTAGAGGAACGTTGTTAAACGTCATAACACCAACTTCCGAGATCTCGTCGATGGTGATTGATAGCTTTTGAAGCATGGGGAAGTCGACCAGTGCAAGAGAGTCGAATCCATTTCCACGAAGTCCTGAAGATCCATCTGCAGCTCCAATGAGCGTATTTCCAGCGAATGTCGCCGAAATGTGTCCATGAAGTAGCCGAGAGTATCGTTCATCGGCAAATTTCCGCGGATGCTCACGGTAAGAGGGCATTTGCGGGCACGCTCGAACCAGGTCTGCGCTATTTCGGTGAAGCAGGGCAGGCTCCGCGGATCCTCGACATAAATGTGGCCCAAAGCGCGGGCGTGGAGATGGCGATCTGCCGCCATGTTTGGCAGACGCGCGTCAAAAGTAGTGGGGCCTCGCCTGGGTTGACAACGTCGACGAACCTCTCGGCAGGTAAACAATGGGTGAAGATTTCGGAGGTCAATTCAGGGGGAAGAGTCAAGATTGGATAGGTGATGGAATTTAGTTGGGTCTGCAGGTTTGGTAGACGAGTCCGCATGTCGTCCAAAATCTGCCTTTGGTGAGATGTGGTCGAAGTGAGGTCAGAAACCTGCGCTCGCAAGGCGGCAGCGTTAGACATCGCTATGTCGGGATCAAGCGTGGTGGTGGAGGTTTTCGGAAAGATGATCAAATGTATGCAAACAAACAACCGCCCGCAACCCGATTAGGAAAGCAGAGAAAAGCCACCGATTCACGATGAAATTTATGGATCCTCACGAGTTCTTAGTCATGATTAAATTACAGCCCAGGAAATGTGGATGGATTTAGAACTCGTTTTCATCTATCCCGCTATTCGAAGTTGTGCGGCCATCGAACGTACACAGATTCTGCAACTGCACCCATGAATTGCCATCCTTCGCGCTCTGTCGCAGATTTTGCACACGCAAAAAGTTTGAAAAGGAAAGTTCTCCACCAATTCCCGTCTCCCGCCTGCAGTGTGTTTCCATAAATCAAGTCCCAAAGCTCTTGCCCTCAGAGTGTTGCCATGCTGCTTTGTCCAGTTGCGTAAATACATCCGCACATACTCGTGGATTCCCTTGGTATTGTCTTTTCCGCTGGAAATGGTCACGTGGGGCTTGTAATTTTGGTGAACAAGCCTAACATTCCACCCAATGCAGCTGTGTTACAATCAGATATTGCATTGTTGCTTCAAATAGAAATTAGAAACTTACAATGCACGGACCTCATCTTGAATCCTTTGAAGCTCGCCGCACAGATTGACGGGCACTGCAACACATTTCTTCCCAAATGGCTCATCTGGCATTCTGTCGAACACGAGGTCGTGTGCGGAGCATTTAAGGCACACGCTACGCAGCGTATGCTTCAGAGATGGGAGGAAGGCATCGGCGATTTGCAGGAATGATGCGATAGATATGTGGATGGGGGGTGCGCCATTGGCAAAGGACCAAGACCTGCCCGTAAAGCATCGAGGCAGTCGTACAATGATCTCGTTTCCATTCGACTGTGATAGAGTAGCTCATCCAGATATGCGAGGCTGGGTGGCATAAAACGTATGGTGAAAGACAAAGGAGAGGGACGATCTGCATTGCGGAGAGACCGGACCGAGTCCCTAATATTTCAAATTTCGATGATCGCTTGACGCGTTGAAGAGCATGAATGCTCTTCGCTTGGGGCACTGCATTGAATTCAACCGAGGACGCAGGAAGTGACCAGTAAATGTGACCGAATTGCGAGGGACCTGAGAAAGAATGAGGGAAAATGAAGACAGACTGAACGAGTAGTAAGGAAAGAGAGCCGAGGCCCACCCTCTTTGGCCATTCTCCGCCCAAGTATGTGGCGCCAAAAGGTCTTAATGCCTTACAGCATATTTGAATTAATCATCTTCGGGAACGTCCAAGATGAGGAGGAGATCGGTCCGAATAAGCCTTTTTATGGCGCAGAAGGTATCGGGTGCTTACAGCGCCAATAATCAGACCTGCGATCGTGAACGTGTTGGCCAACTTCGAAGTCGTGCCCGTAGAGCTGTTGAGCATCGAAGTCGCATGCAGCAGTTCAATATTCGAGCAAAAGGCTGTCAAGGTGGTAGGATCAGGGATTGGCTGTGCGAGACGAAGAAAACCCGTTTTGAACCAATGGTGGATATCCTATTGTCCCAACCGAAATCCGGTTCGAATCTTGCGAAATAGCGAGACGGATTCTAGTTGTTGTCCGCCGTTGACTCCCCGTTCTCATGTGTAAGATCATCAAAGTCCAAACGCCGAAAGGTGTACACAGGCGCCTACAGTATATAATTAGTCCTTCCATCAGAAAACGTCTTGGACTTATAAACAGAGCTCGGAACCTTTCTCTCAACCCCACCCACCATGCAGGTCAAGACGTTGTGCCTCCCATTCTGGCCTTTATTTTCACCCTCTCGTTCACAAAGCTACCTCCCGTCACTGCGGTCTATTACCCGGCCCATCTCGGTGGCGCACTCCCCGGTTCAGTCCTCGCGTTTCTACAGCACTATGTGCCATCGCCGAACGCAATATTCCACACGCAAGAGGTCGATCTGGACCTGGAGCACTTTTGGCAGCGCGCACGCGAGCGGGCGACCGCGCGGCGGCACGGGAAAAGCTGATGGAGGATGCGGCAGCGCGCTCGAAGGATCTGCGTGACAAGATCGGGGAGCTGAAGGCTCGCATGGACTCGATTGTGCATGCGGCGACGGCGCTGCACGAGCTTCAGAAATTGAGAATCAAGAGGCGAGAAAGCGACGATGGCGACGACAGCCCGTGTCGACTACGATTGGCAGGAGATTTAGAGCGCGCGTTAGAGAAGGTGCTCGAGGAGCTGCAGTAATGTTCCCGGCGCCAAATAAAGCGCCGGGGCATGAGGACCGGCGGAAGGTGGTTTCATTAGCGCTGGAGAAGGCGGGGGCTGAGCTTAAAACGGTGTGCGGAAAACATGGAATGGACGAGGAGTGTGGCGGCCCACTGGGAGACAATTCAGGGAGCAATCGAAAATA